TACAATTGATTTTGTTTTGCCATTTCACTGGTTTCTGTACGGTCATCACCTCAGACGGTCACGCCGTCAGAATGGGAAGGAAAAAGAAGCGCGCTGAAGATTATGCCCGCGAATACCGCGATTTTAAGGGGTGTCCTGACGGAAGTTGTAGCGAAGACAACGTATATATATCTGCCGTTATTCTTTGAGTGATCATCTGATCCAGTGTCCGATGGTGTTTCTTTCATTTTCATCGAAAAAAACCGGTAACATTTTTTGAGAATATATATACACCGAAAAAAACCGAAAATTGAATTTTAAAATAAACACCGAAAAAAGTACGCCGAATTTTGAAAAAATAAAAACCGAAAACGCGGAACCCTAGTTATTTAACATCGCGGCACCAAGCATTTGTACACTTTAAACAACAAATAAAAAAATAACTGCCTTCGGATCTAAAGCGGCGCAGCATTGTAGCTTATTCACTAGACACAGCACCAGCCGTATGGTGGGGAGGAATGGGACACTGTCCCATTCCACCCGCAACTCAAATGTCCCATTCCTTCCCAGGTGGTTCGCCCAACGAAAAATACATTCAATGGCGAAAATTCTCTTGTTAGGGCTAAACTTGTTATTGCATGAAGCACGACCCTAACGCGTGTTTTCGAAGAAAAATTGGTATCAGCATAGGCAGGGTGGTTTAAAACTGAGAGAGGTGTAATTGAGTAAGCGGATACTTACTTTTGACACGTGAAAAACGAGAGTTGTAGTCAGAGAAAGCTCCGTCCGGTGAAGACGGCCACCATTACAGCCAGGCTATCGGTATGCTAGCGCCATCTCGTGAGCAGCCGATGAACGTGTTTGAACTAACTCCTGGAGAAATAAACGAGCTGTCCCATTCCTCCAACCATCCCAAACCTCCCGACTCTCCCCTACTGGTGGGTATTAGCCTACCTTAGCCCCATTGTGGAAAAGTGCCTGGAGTCACAAGATTACAACCGGGATAACCTTCACATGTTACGGCATTGCACTTTACTAGTTTCGCCATAGAAAAAGGCATAACTGCACCTTGTAATGAGTTTAGGTATGTTCAAACAAGAGATTAGGAGAAAAGTCTTTGCAAAAAAAACTAGATTTACCTTTTCGTGTTCTCTTCCTTTTGTGAATAGCGTCAGGACAGATGTGTGGAAGGCCTTCCATAAGTCTGTCCAGGATGCCAGGCTCGACGGCTGGCAAGGCAGGTCGCTTGAACTGTGATAGTTTGCAGGTACATTTAATTAAATGTGTTGTTCACCTTCATGACTCTTGAGATCCAGAGAACAATTAGTAATTCACCAAATCTTAGCGCATCATGTTTTAATTTCCACGAGCCACAAACACCCCTTATCTAGGTTAATGTTAAAGTCATATAGCTGATGGCATCAGAGATTGCGATTGGTCAGAGATGTAGGAAATCTCTTTAAAAAAAAACAAAAAAAAAACAATGGCAACGCTTTGTCGCCATGACTGCCACTCAGCAGCGGAATACACTGTAGAGGCGCAGGGCGCAGTGGCTAGCAGACGACAGCCGCTTGCGGCCACAGTTTACGGGTAAACATGTAGCCAATTGGCCAGCCACTTTTCTACCACCAATTGGCCTCGCCAAGCTGGCATCTTTCATCAGGAAGGGATCCTGTTTGCTTGGTTTAGTAAATTTCATTACGCCGAACAATTTGTTTCCAAGCAATGCACATTTCAAGAAACTTTTTTTGCTATATTTCGCTACGTTCACCGCAGTTGAAGCTCAGCACAAAATTTAAACCAGTCTAAACATAATTGGCACGAAAATATTAAAAACAGACTATCCACTAATACCCTAATGCGCCTGGCTATCTGTGATTTGTCTGTATGGAACACTGAGAAACCAGCAGCCAGGACAAGGCTCTTGGAGAGAGGCCCATACCAGAACTGGGCGCCGCCTTCCAAGACAACGGAAGTTGCTCATCAGTATTTTGGAGACAAGTCGGTGGTGTCCAAAGGGGTTTCTGTTTGGTTAGGGTACCTAGAGGCGTCTCTGAGCAACCGCACCCCACATTCTACCCTCAACTTAAATGCGGCTTGGACACAACCACCCTGGCTGGAATAACGGTCAGGGTAGCTGCCTGGTTCATTATTCGGAGTCGGACTGGCATTGTTGCCTTTGTCTAGCCTTGATGTTGTCCGAGACAGGTTTGCAATAAAGGTGGACAATGGAGTATCGGGAAGCGATCTGCAGGGCTATTTTTCTGCCTTTAGTATGATTGGAGGTCCCTTTTGTTGTGAGCGACTTGTCTCCAGCTACTCAAGCATTTTCCAGGAATTTCATCAGCTAGCTCCAGCTGTTTGCGTAGTCCTTAGCATGGCAGCCGAGTTCTAGTTTCAGGCGTACTTTCCAAGTGCCAGTCCAGGCTGTTGCCAGCTGGCCGGGCGCATTCTGGCCCCAAGCTAAACGTAACTAAACTCTGCACAGCGATCATGCGCCGTCAATCCGACCAGCAATGCACTTGTTATAAAAGCATGCATACACTATTGAAGGCTACCATCATTTTTAAACAAGCATTATATCTACCCACATGCAGAGTACAGATGTTATAAATCTGCACTGGCATTTCAAGATAGCGGGACTTCAAAAAAATATGCACATATTCGCTGTGCACAGCACTCACCTTTGGGCAGAAGGGGATCTCCATGAGAGACCTCGATGCATACTTGGTCTTGACGACATCCTTCGCATGCTGGCCCCAAGCCTGCGGCAAGTCTGTGCTTGACAACTGGAAGCTCTTGCATCCTGTTGGTTTTTAGCAGGACAGCAGTGCAGTGCTTGCATTTGCTTAACTTTCTGGAGGCAACACAAACACACATCTGTTATATCTCTTGTATTCTACACCACATCTACAACACCTTGTAGATTTCCTCACTTAAATCAATTCTTAACTACGGAATGCCTAGGCAGTGCAACATTTCATAACTACCTTGCAGATTAAGAGGACTATGAAGGAACCGATGTCGTCTAATAAAACGTGGTTTATCACCTAACCCCTCCCGTACAAAAAAAAAAAAAAAAAAAAAAAAACATGCAGTGGAAACGTGCATTTTTGCCCTGCAGGGCACGTGCAGCACAGAGAGACAATCTCCCCTTTGTTCAGAGTCAGATGCATCGTATGCGGACCGCTGTGCAGAGCGGAGGACTGGAGGACGTATCCGACGATGCGGACGCTGTCAGCCGTCGGCTCCGGGGCGACGCTGCACTCTATCACATGATCGGACTTCAATACGTCTTCGCCTTCAACGAGGCATCTCTTGCTCTCGCCGATATGGCTGATTGTTGTTGCAAGTGATAAGGACACTGAAAAGCCATGCGTGAGTTCCGTGAGTAGGGTTTTTCCAACCTAGGAAGCTCACAAACATCGCCACACCGCGTCAATCACGCACGACCTGGCACGCGCAGCCGGAGCGACGCGGCCGATCGCGAGCGGCTAGACGGGGGTTGGTTTTTGCTTCCAACGAGATAGCGGCGACATTTAAAGCAAGGCGAGACAAGCAGGGACTATGCTACCCCCACGCAGATGCTTTTCGAGCAGATAACTATTATCCACATACCTTTCACGAGCCTCAAGTCTTCGTCCTCCATGGCTGAACGAAGACTAGCGGCGGAATTGTTATTCCCGCACAATAGTTGCGACGGCGGCCGCTAGCCAGCGCCACCGTTCGATCCCCTCCCCAATACTTGAGCAACGCCTAATTTGGATATTTCGGACACGCCAAAGTTTGGCGTTTTCTGGTTCGCCACAGGAGTGCCGAAGTAGTGCTATGCTTCAGCCAGAACTGCCAGAGCAACGCCCAATTTGGGTATTCCGGACATGCCAAAGTTTGGTGTTGCTCTGGTTTGCCTGAGGAGCGCCAAAGTTGGTGCCATACTTGAGCCATAACTGCCATAGTAAATCCTAATTGCGAATTCGGGGCATGCCAAGGTTTGGCGTTTCTCTGGTCCGCCAGAGGAGCGCAAAAGTTGGTGCCATACTTCACCCATAACTGCCATAGTAAATTCTAATTTGGGAATTCGGGGCATACCAAAGTTTGGCGTTGCTCTGGTCCGGCAGAGGAGCGCAAAAGTTGGTGCCATACTTCAGCCACAATTGCCATAGTAAATTTTAATTTGGGAATTCGGGGCATACCAAAGTTTGGCATTGCTGGTCCGGCAGAAGAGCACCAAAGTTGGTGCCCTACTTGAGCCATAACTGCCATAGTAAATCCCAATTTGGGAATTCGGGGACAAAAATTAAGCTTCTCTCTGGTCCGCCATAAAGTGCCAAAGCAAGCCCTGAGGCATGCCAAAGTTTGGCATTTCTACGGTTTGCCCCAGGAGTGCCAAAAGAGCCATACCTGAGCCAAAGCTGCCAGTCAATCCTAATTTGGGGGTTCAGGAGCATAAGAGTTAGCTTTTCTCTGGCTCCCCACTGGATTGTCAAACATGTGCCAAAAATGCCACAGAAAGCCCAGAGGCATGCCAAAGTTTTGTTTTTCTCTGGTTAGCCACTAGAGTGCAGAAAAAAGTGACATGGATGAGCCATGGCAAGATTGCTGAAAATGCCAGACTTCTGCCATATAAACCTGAAATAGCACCCACACACCATACCAAAATATGATTTCGGAATACTAGACCCAAGCCAAAGTTGGTAAAGTAGGCATCTCTGAAAATGACTGAAAATTACCAATTTATGCTAATTTAATAATTTTGGCTGCATCAATTGGATTGTTATTACATATAGACTGTTTCACCTTACAATAACGTGAAGTTGATGGACTGCATTGACATGGGTGTGGGGGGGAGGGGGCGTAATCATGCAATAACTTCACCATGCTGGTCTGCCTGGGATAGCTCACAGCATCCACTGCAGATCATTGTAAAGTTAGGAATATAGCTTTTATTCCTGCATTAAACGATACATCACCACTAGTTAAAACCCATAGAAATAAAAACACTTCCACCAGTGGTGCTAAAAAAGGGCAAAAACAAAAGACTGTGGTCACGGGTTTTATTCTTGAAAATCTTCGTCGCTCCAGCCACCGGATGCTGCAACCTCGAAGAGGTCCGCAACATCGAACGAGGCTGCAGCTTCGCCCGAGGCTACAGCGTCGTTCAAAGCTGGAGCCTCGCTCAATGCTGCAATCGTCCTCGAAGCTGCAGCATCTACAGCGTCCAAAAAGCGGGAACGCCGCCCGTCTTCCCGGTCCTTCACACCGTAGAGGTAGACCCGGATGGCCGCCTCTACCTCCGTGTCAGCCGCCTTCGTTTTTTTTTGGACAGCAGCTAGAACACCAAATACAAAACAGAGTAATAACACAAGTTAGACTAAAATTGTTGTCTCCACCATTACGCCATCCCATTAACAAAATATGCTGTATGTTATCTGACGAAATGGTGTAATAATGTGCTTGAATAACTGGAAGATGGTTTCATACTAAATATGTTTGTGCTCTTATTTTCTATCTGTGACAGCTATATTCACACAATTATGGGCACGCTTCGTCCAAGGACGTGCAATTACGAGGATTACAGCAAAACAAAAGATGCTCATACACACTGTACTGCAGTGCTTTTGCTTGCTTTTGTGCACTGCAATTTGCTTCGCTATATGAATGCCTCATAAATGTTTGTGCTAGTAAAAAAATTAATTGTGCGTTTTTACCATAGCAAGTTAAACACAAAATTAGCCATCTATAAACAAAAGCTATTGAGTGCATTTTAACACATAAAATTTTAGATTTGTTTCTGAGCTTACCAAAGGGCTTGCATTTGTATCATAAAAATGTACATGAACAAAAATGATATGGAGTAAAAGCTGTGGGTATTCCTGTGATCTCTCTTCCCCGATGGCTCTGATAACGGCCGCGGGTCGGAATGCTTGACCTTCTTCACCATGACCTCCCGACTCGTTCGTGAAGCAGAGGGTCCCCTGTCTTGGAGGGCCCTCCCCTCACCCTCTCCCGGTGGTACCTCTTTCCTTTCCCTTGCTCAGATGCAAATCACTGCTGACAGGCAAGGAGGTTTTGCCTCCTCTTTTCCCACTTTCAGGAACGTGACTCGTCCGGTGACTGCGAAATAGAAGGATGTGTGTCGGTGACTTCTCAGATGCTTCCCCAATCTTGGCTCTCCGGAACCCTGCATCTCTGGTAAGGACCTTTTCTTACATTGCAGGCAAGGGGGGGGGGGGGGGGGGGGGGGGCTGGGGCATTTTGGATGGGGACATAGTAGTTTGTACAAGAGAGTATTCTAACAAATACTTTTGGACTCCGTCCTCACTCTGGTATGTGTGTCTTCTCTTCCGCTATATTCGACGATCAAACAAAGAGTCGATCATTGGCACACACAGAAGAAATTTATTGAACCAATCCTCAGCAATGTGGCCCTAAACGTCGTCTACATTGCCGTGGAGATGTGGGACCGTGCTACTAAGCTTGGTGTCTTCTTCGAGATTGCCGCCGCTGTTGAAACGGCCCTTTGGTTACTCTATTGGTACTTCTGCTTGAGATAACCAAAGGGTTATCTTAACAGTGGTGGCGATCTCAATGGAGATGTCAACCTAGTAGCACGGTCCCACACCTCTGCTGCAATGTAGACAACATTTAAGGCCACGTTACAGTGGGTCGGTTTGATAAGTTATTTCCACCGTCGGTGCCTATGATCGACTACCTTGTCTCACTCCCTCAAATATAGGGGAAGAGAAGACACTCGTACCAGAGTAAGGACAGTGTCCAAGAGAATTTATGAAAACACTCTGCTCTACGAACTACTATGTCCCCACCCGGAATGCTTCCCACGCCGGCAAAATAAGAAAAGGTCCTTACCTGCCATACGCGGGGTTCTAGAGAACCAAGATCTAAGAAGCATTAAAAGAAGGAGCTGAGACATGTCCTATTTCTTTTGCGATCACTGGACAAGTCCCCGTTTCCGAAAGCGAAAAAAAGGAGGTGAAACCTCGCTTGTCGTTCGTGAGCCGCATTTGAGCGCGGGGCCAGGAAGAGGTCCACCCGGGAGAGTGAGAGGAGCGTCCACCAAGACCGAGGACCTTCCGCTTCACGAGCAGGCCAGAGCTCACGGCGAAAGAGGCCGAGCGTTCCAACCTGCGGCTAGTATCACAGCCATCAAGGAAAGGAGACCACAGGAATCCCCACAAAGCCCATAGTGAGACATGCTTTCCTACCTTTACCAACCCACTCCTTGTTCTTTTACCAATTTCGATCAATTAATAAGAAGTATGAAAAGTAACACAGTTGATACTATAACTTTTTTGTTTGTTATGCCAATCAATTAAGATAATTTACCATTTTACTCTACTAATTGATTTTTTTTAATTCTTAGTTTTTCCTCAAACAATTATAAAATTGAATGGAATTTCTTATGACAGTATTAACCACTATTCTGTAAGTGCATTTGTTTCCATTTTGTGCTCTAAATGGGTAACTCATATTTTGATGCTTCGAGTTGTAATACTTCGCCTTGCCACGACCCCGCAGATAGGATCAGTGTTGTTTGTAAATAAAAAAATACTAGGTCGGGCAAAGAAATAAACAAAATATCCAACTCCATGCCTACGGACCTTGAGTACTTTAGCTGAAGCTAAAGATTAAGCAATTACAGATCCAAATACATCCTTGGCGCAATGTGGCCTAAGTTGCTCTTGTGCCATAAAACCCCAAACCATCATCATCATCCAAATAAATCCCTGAGACCAAAGTATGGTGCAAAATAAGAACATCTTTTTACATTGAAAAATGGGGCGCAATCTGCATGTTTTCGAGTAGAAGCTTCTTCTAAATGTTTGCTTTGTGTCGAAACATCAAGTTCATTGGGTATTTAAAAAATTACTAGATATCCATGTTCAATAAATAAAGCTGTAAATGACAAAAGTCATACCCTTGATGACGGAAAAGAGCTTGGTTCCTTTAAATGGCTGCTTCACCTGCTGCCCCACGAACGTAAAATGCGCCTGAACTTTTTTTTGAGGGTTCGCTCCATGATGCAGCGAACCGCATCCTTTACTGCGGTTCCACCCATTAGAACAAACCGAACTCTGCAATACGAACAAAACACAAAATTAGTCATGAGCGCTATTTTTTCTATATCAGTTTAGGGATCGAGCTTCACGTGCACAGTATAGCAGTAGCGTAATGTAAAATCTGGCTAACAGAGTCCTAGAGAAATACCGTATTTACTCGAATGTAACGCAAGTTTTTTTCAAAATTTCCCTCACCTAATTTGGGGGTTCGCGTTATAATCGAAACGCCTCAAAATTTGCCTTGGTAGTGTCGCAGCACAGGCTCTTAAAATAGCTACGACAAATCTCGCAATCTTTCAATTTTGTGCTGGCAACATATACACGCTGGCAACAGCCAATCCAAGTCTATTCTTGTTTGCGACTCGTTGCGCCCATGTTAGGGTTACCTTACCCATGTGCCCGTGATTCGCGGGCTGCTGCTTCGTGCTTCCGCAACTGGACCCGAGCAAATGGCTACGCGACGAGCTCAGTACGATGTCCGCTTTTAAAAGAAGTGAAATTTTGATGGCTAAGGAAATCGGAAACTCTGCCGCGGCTTGGCGGCTAGATGTGACAAAATCGACTGTCTGTGGGTGCAGGCTCCAGCATGAAGCGCTCTCCAAGTGTGAGCCCGGCCAAAAAGGCTTCCGCGGACCTCATTGTCTCGGGGGGAACACTTGATTACCAATGGCAAAAGCGATGAGTGGGCAAACTCATTTTATTTTTAAAAACTGGCAGGTGTTGGCCACTATGTGGAACAAATAAATGCAATTGTTTCCCCTCACTTTACTCGCGTTACATTTGTGTTCTTTTTTTGCGCTGTGAAGTCATCCTTTGCGTTACAATCATGGTTGCGTTATATTTGAGTAATTACAGTATACAGATGGATTATGTTTTGTTTTTCACACTGAATTTGAGCACGTTAATTATCCTGAGCCAGTACACTAAAGGTGTTTTATGAACACTCACATTATATGTGAGCCAGTGATGTGATTGGCCTAAGCCATTTTGGAGCACCTTTTGGAGCAGCCAAAACAGTGTTTTAGAGCAACAAATGGGGCCTTTGGAGCAACCCAAACAGTGTTTTGGAGCACCAAAAGTGGCTTCTGGAACAGCGAAGATAGTGTTTCGGAGCAGCAAAAGTGGCTTTTGGAGCAGATATTCTTAACACAAAATGGCCTTCGTTTCTACAGCACCTAAAACGAATATTTTTATTTTTCTATGTTGTGTTGTGATGTGACGTTTTGAGACGGAACTCGCTGCTTGTGTTCTTACTGCTGAGACATCCCACAAGTGTTTAGTGCTGTAGGCAATGCCGAGCGATTCTGAAAAACCGTTTGCCTGCGTTTTACTGGTTCCCGACGAGCCAGATTTTCGTCAAAAGTAAGCAAACGTAAAACAATGGATTGCAAGCGTCTCGGCTGGTGCCTCTGTCATGCAATCATGTTCGCATGCACGTGAGGACGACTACGACAGGCGTGCAGTTGTGCGTGCCTCGTCGCGCGAGCGCAGACAACGGCCTCGCCGCTGGATTTCATGGCTGCATCTCCATGCGCCCATGAATTCCAGCGGCCTCCACCTTCTCACTTTGACATTTTATAATGTGTTATACTCTTCAAACTGCTAACATACAATCTTCCAAGCTAATTTCATCTTATTCCAACTGCCAGCATTATGCTGGATAATCTGGAAACTCTAGAATGTAGTTCATTTACGCAGTGCGCAGAAACTATTTGCTCTTCTCAGAAATGCTTTGTGGAAATAGGGCAAACATGGTTGTTGGTCCCCTTTTGCCAGATCATTTGCCATGATTTGACAGACTCCCTTAATCTGGGAAAGGGTGGAAGTTGAGGAGTTTTATACCACAATCAACATTTTTCATGTTTTGTGTGGTTTAGGATTGCACAGGCATACACTATAAAGCATACAATACCTCCACTAAAAGAATACATTGAATAGGAATGTTCACGCTGGTGCACACAACAAGCATCACGGAGCAAGTCAAAATTTTATGTCTTACTGCACGATACAACACATCTCATGCACCATCCATACCAAAGCTTTTCTTGAGGCAGCATCTTGGAGGACCTCCTCCGCGGCCTGGAAATCCTTCAGAGAGAACAGAGGCAGCTGAATTGCCTCTCCAGCTGTCTCGGTCCTCCTCGGAAGTTGGCCCTCCAGCTGGGCCAGCCGCAGGCACAGCTCCTCCTGGCTTTCCTTGAGGGCTGCATTCTGTTGTGTCAGCTCACGGAGCGGCTGGCGCTGTCCAAGAGCAGCTTTATTACCCGTTACTCAAAGCCTGATACAAAAAAGAGAAATATTTAAAAATGTACAAGGAAGGAATGGCACTGCATTGTACTTCCTGAGCGTCAGGGTAAATAAGACAGGAACTGGATAGTTCAGGTTGCATACAACCAAAGCCATACTTGAACTAGGCATCTACGGCTCAGATAAGAAGCATATGCATGCTGAAAAACTTCTTAGAAGTGCAACAATTTTCTTGTGCAAAAGACCATCCACAAAACATAAGCACATCCGTGGGTTGCCAAGGACTTTACTTGGCAGGAGGGAAAGGGCAACAGAAATTTCATGACACCACTACATAATATAAGAAGCCCAACTTTTCTTACTATTGCTCTTGGGTGAAAATGAATACAGTATAGACCACTTACAACGTAACCGCTTATAGTGCAGGACCGAATGTAATGCGGCTTTTTTAAACCATTGGTTCGACTCCCATAGAACTCCATGTAATTACATACCGCCTAAAATGCAGGCGCGCGAAGGGAAATACCGGTTATAGCGCGGTTTCTGGAACAGCCCGCCGACCGCGCGCTTCCCTGCGCGACACTAGATAACGGCGCTAGCCGCGAGCGGCACTCGCGGGGCAAGGAGGTTGCTCGAAGAAGCGGGGAGAAGCGAAGAGGGAGGCTTCAGTTGCCATAGCGACGGAGGGACGCATGCACGTGTCGTTCACGTGCGTGCGCCCCTCCGCTGCATTGGAAACAACCGCAACGACAGACCAATCGCTGGTCGAGGAGAAGTGTTCGCGCGCCTTGCATGCCGGTCGCGGGCCGGCTGCTTCTATCCGCAAACATGGCGTCGGTTGTGATCGTCGCTCATCGTTCCGCGTAAAAGCGCTATCCTTGACAGTGAATTTTCGTTGTGTGTCGCTATGATAACCCAGCACGTACTAGAAGGGAAGATCCACCTACTCGTGCGGCGATGTTGTGGCGGCACTCTCAAAACGGCAGAAACGCCCGTGTCGTCGTGTTTGTTTACTTCGACTACAGTGGTGCTTTCTAAGCATTTGTGTTTTAAAACATCCCCCGGATTTTTTATTTGGAGCATTTCGTGCCTGTGCTCAAGTTGAAGGTATTACTGGCGCGTACCGTATAAAGGATGCGAATTTTCACGCGTTTCCATCGCCGGAGAAAAGTGATTAGGGTTAGCAATCCTGACGTTAGCAACGTCCGTCCGCAACCCGCGACGCTGTTAAAAGGCTGCGCCAGGCAAAAGTCGCTCATTTCTTTCAAAATGTGTCACACACTTGAGAGAGAAGTGTACTAGTCTGGTGAAATAAAGACTTTCCTGAAACTAAGCTTTATTTTTCATCTAACATAAACTAAATTGTTTTACAAAGGCAAGTTGTCTGATGGCATGTATTTTGGCCTGAAAAGTTGATGTTTTGGTTATAGCGCGGTACCGCTTATAGCGCGGATTTTTGCGACTCCCGTGACATACGTTATATGGGGTCTACACTGTACATCAGATTTCTTGTTTAAAAACAATTCTGGTTCCGCTATAGAATCGATTCTGTAAGTGTCATGACACCAAAACACCTGGACTCCTTTAACATAATAAACGAGCATTATTGGCCTGTTTGTATGATTGCAGCATTAGGAAGTAATTTGGAAGTTCAGAATTGTCTAAACCTGTGAGTGCAGGAACTGTTGCTGGTGGTTCGCAGTCTGAAGCGCAGTTTGCCGGCCTTCCCGCATCATTGGTAGGTGGCGATAAAGCTGAAATGCAGACAAATATATATTGTTACCTGGTATATTATACAGGATAAGGAATGTACAATGAGCAATACACGTAATATGAACATGACAACGGTGATAATGCAATTAATGTAAAGGAGCAAGCCAGGTGGACAAGAATAACAATAATAATCCCCGGAGAAGAAGAACAAGGAGGACAAAGGACAAACACAAATCTCCAAACACAGCTACCATAAAATACCAGGGGAGTGCCCACCTCACTTTCACTGAAAACTGGGTTAATCTAGACAATGGCGCTTGTCAGTGGTCAAATCGGGCGCTTAACGTACAAATTGCAGAATTTCCAAGTTTGGAAAATGTTAATAATGGGTGCTTGAACGAAGTGGGTGCTTCCGCGTTAGTTTATAGTTTGCAACTGGTGTGCAAATAAGACAAATTGGGCCTCTTTTTAAACGTTTCCCTAGCACAGGGGTTCTCAAACTTTTTGGTCTCACGGAACCCCAGGAAGCCTCAAAAACTGCCGCGGAACACTGCTCCCCCCCTCTATATTTGCCGACCGAGAAGCAACAGATGCACAATTGTAGGCAATTTTGCTTGTGTTGCTTCCCATATATCCCCACCATATCAATCGCGATGTCAGTACAAAGTGAGATGAAGGCAATTTGCATGGTCCTGCCGCGCAGCCTGCGGCGGGGGAGGGGGGATTGGGGGGAGGGGCAGACGGCAATTTGGGTGTTCACTGAACCGATGAGACCAGCTCGTGGAACCCGTGTTCCCCGGAACCCATTTGAGAACCCCTGCCCTAACAGAATATTTGCTGATGCATGACAGTGGCACCTTTTGCAGTTTGCTCCTCAAATAACAAGGACAAACCCAATCTGTTATCGTCCAAGTTGGTGCTTCCAATAACATTCCCACCACACAAGTTGTGTTGAAGGCCTGAGTGCATTTGACTTCTCTTTATTCTATACTTTCTGACAGCACTTCTTTAAAATTCTTGCCAGCCTCGTGTCGGTGGGAATCACGTAGCAGTGACTGATTGCTTTAGTTTAATTATTAAATGCTCTAATGTTCACTGATGAAACAAAACATGAATACTCCTGATTAGCAAATATATTTTCCTATAACTTTGATAAACTAGATTTTTAGAAACTTCCTGCTGGTGGGCTGCAACGTTTACAGGGCTTAGCTGGAGCTATGGGGACGACTAGAAAAGAGGGGAAACGGAATAATTAGCTAGCTGACTAAAAGGTTTCTGTGAACTTTTTGAAGTTTAAATATTATCTTCAGTCATAACGAAGTTGGACATTGACACTCAACTGCATTCTAGTTTAACCCAGGGGTACAAAAAGACGGTTGAGAGGTGACGTCTGGGGGGGGGGGGGGGGGGGGGGGGCTCAGAAAGCTGAGCCGTTGATTGCTTTGATACTTCTCTAAAGCGGGGAAGGGGGGGGGGGGGGTGTAGGTAATTGGACGGTGTTATTTTAGAGGTCGCGGGTCTACAAAGTTCGCGTAACTCTGGTCTTAACCAACCATGATATGAAATGTCAATCCTTGTACACACCTCCTAACTGAAACTGAGCAGGCAAAGAGCAATGGTGATGGTGATTTCTTCGCTCTGTACTGGCTCCACAACCCAAAAGTTCATGCCGCAGGTGACGAAAGGCAGTGTGATGATGGCACAAAGCACAGGGATCGACGTCGTGGGCATGTTCTGCTGGCTCAGTTTTTGTTTGAATCCATGTACTAAAATGACATTTCTTGCCGCGTAGCACCCACTAATTATTTAATCAAAATTTCATGTCACAGCTACATAATGAGGTCGAGCATAGATTCTCCAATTACATTTTGTCCCAAAAAGTTGGTTAAGATTTAGATAGAAAATTAAATCTTAGCTAGTTAGGTAACTAATAAATCAATTGAGCCTCTTTTCTAGTTGCTGCTATAAGCACCAACTTGCCCCCAGGACTAAAGAAAACCTGCAAGTTCTTTTTTTTTTAAATCCTGGTCCTAATAAAAAACACTAATAAAAAACACTTTGTATATATCTATCACAATAACACCTAGCCTACTCCTTTATCAAAATAACTTTTCAATATTTGCTTGCTTGTATGAGTCCAGTATTAGCAACCATTTTGGAACTTCAGAATCAGCTAAACAACCTGTGATCATAGAAGTCGTTGCAGGCAGTTGGTGGTCAAAAACGAAGCTTGACCTTCCGGCGTCAGTGGTAACTGGCGATGAAGCTGAATTGCAGAAAAATATACATTGTTACCTGCTAAAATATACACGATAAGGAATGTACACTGAGGAATAAAATTAATATGAACATGACACAGCTGCTCATTCATATAGTTTGCTCTGACAGAACATTTGTTAATGCACAACAGTGGCCTTTTTTGCGGTTTACTCCCAAAATGTGATGTTTCTGAAGGACGGACGGAAAACAACCTTTATTCTGCACGATACATCAAATATATACACAAAGGAAGGACGCGCCCCCTGGGGGTGAAAGAACACAAATGAATACCGAAACTGAATATAACATACTCCCTTCCTTATTCGTAGTGATTAGTTGCTAGTAAGTGTTAGATATCCCTAAGCATGCACTGTACATATTTACACACTACATAACCACTGCTATACACAGACAACTAGTCGGTCTGATAGTCTTTGAGCCAGGCCGGTCGTCGGCGCTCTCGGGACGGGCGATGGGGACGCTGCACGGCTGGGGATGGTAGTGAGCTTGTAGAGCGTTGCGGTACCCCAGGGGACCGCGGTTGCGGCCCAGGAGAAGGCGGATCAGGAACGGGCGACTGCGATGTGGCAGACTGCAGTCCGCCAGGAGGCGGCGGCTGCGACCCGGGAGAAGGCGGCGGCGGCAGGTCAGGCTGCGGCACTCGAACCGGAAGCTGCGGCGCAGGTGGCTCTGAACGTTGGGGCGGTGGACTCGTGCCCCTCTCTGGAACCCTGGAAAGCTTGGAGGCATTCCATGTGCGGCCATCTCCAAGTCTGAAAGAGACAGGTCCCCTCTTCGCCAACACTTCAGTTGACGAAGAAAAGGCGCGATCTCCCTTGAAGCGAACTGACGGCTTCTTAACACGAACGAAATCGCCCACTGCTATTTTCGGCTCCTTAGCAGCTCTCCTCCGGTCCGTGTACTCCTTGCTGCTTTGCGGTTGAAGCCGGACCCTTTGACGCAGTCGCGCCAGTTCCTTTGCTGGGTCTTTTGCGAACGCTGGTGCCGAAAACCCTACAACATCCAACCTGGTTCGAGGCATCCGCCCATGCAGCAGAACTGCTGGGGCAACCCCAGTGGCAGCCTGTGGAGTACAACGGTAAATAGCAAGGTAGTCAGTGACTGCTTGTCGGATAGGTCGCCTTTCGAGGAGTGAAACTTGGATGAAGTTCTTCAAAGTTCGATTAAGCCTTTCGACT